AGAGAGAGAGAGAGAGAGAGAGAGAGAGAGAGAGAGAGAGAGAGAGAAAAAAAGCGTATCAACCCGTTTTGCAAAATATTGTGCAAACGAAACGACAGTTGAATGAATATAATTTCCAATTTGAGCGCATTTACTGTGTTCCGGTCGATTCAACTCAATTACATAAATAAACATAATCCAATTAAATAACCAAGATGAAATTGAGTGGAAAAACTTGAAAAGAAATTTATACGTGCACTAAAAATATCAAGCCCTATCAATTTCACTCTCTCTCTCTTTCCATTTTACACCGTGGCAAAGCATATTTCCCATTGCAAAATTAATTAGCTAGCATTTCAATTGAGGGCTGGTATTCACTTTAGATCATTTTTTCCATGCAAAATGAGAGAGAGAGAGAGAAAGAGTCTATTCCCTGACCTTTTGCAACATTGTATGCGGTAGACAATTTAATTCGTTGCTCCCCCGCACTCTGACACAGAGCCAGCGAGATTGCAAACAATTTTAATAATGTTCATTATTGCCGAATAACAATTCATACAAATTAAAATTTGTATAAATTGGACCGGGCTGATGGTTGTTACATAGGCAGTTTGGAAAACTCAACTATGTCTCTCATTTGGTCTTTTCATTTACAACTGCCATTGGAGCATGTTCCGGTCAAAATTATCATACAAAGCACGCATCGAACAGCCCGTAGTCTCTCGGACATGCAAAGGCAATGAATATTTCCATACTAATTGTGTCTTCGATTCGGAAAACGGGTTAATTCCTATAGTCGCAAAAGTGGCAAAACGACGAAGGGATCACATAAAATATATCATTTTATTATTATCGTTATTGCAGAGGCTATACTTGTGCCATACATCGGCAAAATGTGTGCCGGAGCATCGAATCGGTGTGTGTGCACTGTACAGTGTGCACCACTCATTTTTCGCTTTGCCCAAAAGTATTTGCGTATAAATTTGGCAATTATCCGAACGACCTGCAAACCAGTCGCATTCCGTGCAAATTGATTATGCTTTATGGAAATGCAATTTGAGCAAAAATTGAATAAATTACGAGAATTAGTTTGGTATTAGAGCGAAAGAAAGAGATAGAGAGAGCAAATGGAAGCATTTTGCTACAACAAATATGCAGTGGCGCGCATACAAACCATTTTTATTGCGACAAATGCGAGAGAATGTGTAACTGAATTATTCGAAAATTGAGAAAATCAATTTAAAGTAAGCGCCAATTGTCCAGATTTATTAGTGATTTCAATTTATTAGGTCAACTGCAGCACGAATTCGGAAGCGAAAAAGTAAATTTACTAGGAAAAAGCGCAAAAATTTTATCAAGTTAGAGAGAATAAGTCATTTTTTCAATTGGTGAACTTAAGAGATAATATGCTGAGCTATGTTCTTCTATGCCAAATCGTAACCACTTTCGCTTTAATCTCGGCATTTAATTAAATAACAAATGATGTCTGAAGCTGCGATTTCTTACGCGTCGAACTAATCCGGGTGTGGGGAGGAAAGTATTTAAAAACAGATTTCGATGATATCGTTCGCATCAGGCGCCGGTGGCGAATGATGTATGCGCGCTCAAGTCAAGTGAATTTAGCGTTTGTTTGTGCTGCGGAGCTGTCAAAAAAATAAATAATAATTCATTATCAAAACGAGAGACCGGCCCCTAAGTCAGATCAATGTACCATTCACCAAATGAACACAATGGCAGGCGCGCGCGATCTGATTTTTAAGCCAGTTTTGCACGCAGCAACTCTTTCTTGCACTAAAAAACAAACATACACACAATGGATGTATTTTCGATGATGTAATAAACAAATCATGGAGCAGTTTTTGTTTTTGCTCGCAGACTGAAATGAAATCTTTGCTGTGGCAAATTAATCATTGCAAATCTTTTTTTTCCCTCCTCGCCAGACGCAAACGAAATCTCTTGTAATTCCGTGTACAATGGCACGTCAAAACCGGTGCGAACTAACTCACTCGTTCTCTTGTGTGCGGGCACGGCGTTAAAAAAGTTAATAAGAAAATCAAGGCATGCGTTTCCTTTGGCTAAATACAAACGGATGCGAAAAATGAGGGTAAAAACGGATTGAAAATCAGCTCGAGCAAATTCTCATATGGGAGAAGGGAAGAAAAAACATACTCACTCTTGCCGCTCATACTGGCGCGAGCGCGAGATGTGTTTAATAATTTTAAATATCACGCGGTGCCCATTATATTAATCTATCTTTATTGTTCGAGCTATTTGTGCGAATGCCACCGTATTTATCTTGTGGCTGCACCATGTTTTGTTTTGTGTGCGATGTGATTTCTTTTTGCCCTCTTTCTCTCTCTTCTCTCATACGCTGCCATTTGTTCCTATTGAAAGCGTTCGGTTTGGGGCGAGCAATCTAACGAGCGAGCGGGCAAAAAAGAGACAGACAGAGAAAGAAAGAGTTTGAGTGTGAGCTCCCGCACACTCAACGAAAGCGATACACATGAACTTCGTCACTTGCAGTCGTTTTGTTTCGCAGCTCCATGCTAAGAGCTAGTTTCTGCCCGCTCTTCTGCACTTTTTCCCCCCCCACATTCGCAAGGAACATTTTTCCATTTTATGCTAGCGCATAATACTGATTTATTGCTTTTAAATTAAACTCTTTCGCTGTTGCTCTCCTTCTGGCTGCGCAACGGCATCGAACAACACACAAAGTTTCACTCTCATTCTCAACATCCCGAACACCGATTACAATGGCCCCTTTAGTTCCATCATAAGTAGCATGCTAACACTAGTCAAGAATTGAACAACAACAAAAAAATAAGAACAACAACAGCAATTCTATGAGCAATGATAAGTGAACGAGGCAACAAACCCTAAGTGTGGAAACAGAGAGAGAGAGAGAGAGAGAGAGAGAGAGAGCGTGTGGTTGCCGATGTCAAACGTAAATACAACGCCAAAGAATTTCCCGGCACGAAAATACCGACTTCATAACGGATTCAGAAAATGCAAACGAAAACAAAAGCGAAAAGCACAAGAAAATGAAATGTCTTGTATCAAAACAAAATTGCGAACATAACACACACACACAAACCCACACAGTGTGCTCATCTTCGCTTTTTTCTCGCTCTTTCTCTTTTCCCGGGTGTTTGCTTTGTAGTTGTTGGTTGTAATGGAGGAATTTTCTTTAATTTTCGACCCTTTCACTTGCACAAAACGAACGATTGCGAGCGTAAGCGCTCGCTCGCATTTCGCCGAGTTGAGAATGAGCAATAATGTGTTCAGAAATTCTTTGCAACGGAATGTGGTGCTGCATGTGTCTGGTATTTCGATTGCTAACGGCAACGGAAAATGAATGATGTGCCGCGTTCAGAGTATCGTGTTGTTCAACTCATCGCCTTGATTGCATTGTGAGCGTCATGCGGTTTTTGATGGTTCTCTGTGTCCAAGTGCTGCCTCATTTCAAATCTGGAACTACAGAAGGCGAGGGAAAAAAAAACACACGACAACCTGTGAACGACATGCTCACGAAAAAACAGACGACATAAACATATTAATTATCTTTGGTTTTTCATGCGACATTAGGCTCAATGCTCACGAAAATGACGACGACGACGATGATGGCGAGCTAAAATTGCCATTAGGAAAAACGAGATATTGCACGACAAATCTTAATCAGAGAAACACAGTGTTTGCTCATCGTAATGACCTGTGTCTGTGAGTGTGGCCGCGCCGCAGTTGGAAAAAGCATTACAACACCGAGTAAAAAATCATAACTCAGATCATAATTATGACTGATTTTCCAGTTTTATTTACTCTCTCTCCCGCCCACATCGGCTGTTTTTTTTTGGTTTCTCGTGTCGCGCACGATACGAACATTGTCCAAACAAAAAGATTATGATTTATTTACTCATTTGATAATGATAATATTTAAGCGGCGTTGTCTGGGTTTCGTTTTGATTTGGATTGACATGAAATATTTATCGGCGAACAATGACAACCAAATATAAATGTGATTTTATTTGAATTGATATTGTTTGAATGAATGCACAATTTCGTATTTTATTCTCTCTGAACATGAACATGAACGTTAATTGTTTCACACGAAAATACAATGAGTGTGTCTCTTCAAGCCAGCCATCCATTTATCATTGTGATTCGGTGTAATTTCGATTTTAATAAATGAATTTATCGCCGACGCGGTGAATGAACGAGACGTTGCCCGAGTGTGCTGTCAGTCAAAATAGATCATTTTTGCGAGAGTCACAAAAAAGCCGTTCTATGAACCGGAATCGTATGAATTTTCGAAAAGCTTGCTTCTGAGCGGGTACACACACTGGCTCTTCATAAACATCGGACACATACATTACATAATTAATGATGGCAAAGTGACATTCCAACCTTTTTGCAAAATCGCTCAAACCCCAAAAACAGGTAGATATAGAAATGATTTCGGTTGAAAATCC